ACTGTCTACACTGACTGGCAGCTGCTATTCAAGGGCTGAGATTAAGGAGCCTTTTGCAGCCCTTCCTAGATATACCATCAGGGATTGGACCTGGGGTCTTCTGCATGCAAAGCAGATGCTCTAACCACTGAGCAATGACCTTTCCTGCCATAGCAACTGGTGGGCTCTTGTCTTAGCCTACTTTTCTGTAGATAATCAGATGGCAAGGCCAGTGTACCAGCAAACCCATTACCACAGCTAGAAAGCATCCTTTGTCCCACATTCTGCACCTACCGATCACATGAGGCTGTTAGTGTCCAAGGTGCTCACCACATGCACACATGTATGCTTGGTGCAGCAGCAAAAGCTGGCACAGAGGGCATTTCCAGGCACCCAAAGTAGCATGAAAGAACAGATGCAGAAGGCAGAGAGGCAACTGAGGAAGTGCCCGGGACTGAGTGTCTTGGCGTTGCTGGTGGGCTGTGAGAATCAGGGGAGCAGAAATGGGGACCTGCAGAGCCAAGAGAGGAGCCCCAAAGGCAACCCCCTACTGCCACTTGGGAGTGTATCTGGATATTAAACCACACTTCCAAGGCAGGGAGAATGAGGTTTCTCAACCCTAAATGGCCTTCCACGTCCTTTCTCTTTCGTGTGGCGTACGTTTTGAAACGGGTTTTCACAGGCTTTGCCTTTCAGATCCGTGCTTTTTTGGAAGAGGCTGCGAGAAGCCTCGGGCGGGTGAAAACAACGAAAACAAACGCAGAGATCCCTGGGAGGGGATCCCTAGATCAGAAGGGGCCACAACTGGATTATTATTGGGGGGGAGGAGAAAGAGAGGTGCGAAGGGCGGTCCCAGAGGGAGGGCACGACCAGGAGCGAAGCCAGAGGGCTTCGGCAAGTGAGCCAGGCTGCACGCTCAAGCCCTGCTGTGTCCCACCGGGCGGCGGAGTCTCTCGCCGGGTCGAAGGAGGGAAGAGGATCCTGCGTGGGGAGCAGAAGAGCCAGAGCTCGAGGCGCGGGAGGGGGAGGGGAAGGAGGTGCAGGGTTTTTTCCTTCCACTTTCGAGGGTGGGGGTGGGGAGCCGCGTCCTCAAACAACCCCGAGCCGCTTCCTACCCCGCCTCAATCGACCTGAAAGGTTGGCAGACGGGGAAACCGAGGCTCCCTGGAGACCCGAGGCGACGGCGAGGGGCGCAGCGAGAGAGGGGAGCGCCTAACACCCTCCCCACGCCGCGACCCCAGGGACCCCCTTTCCCGAGGGGGAGAAGCCCGGAAGAGCCCCCTGCGCTCCGCGGCCCTTACCTGCGCGCCCATGGGGGTGGGTGGGGGGGAAGCGGCCTGGCCCGGCCCGGCTGCCCGCGCCTCTGCCCGGCCCGGACGCGCCGTTTCTTCGGCTCGCTACATGGCAAATCGGCGGGGCACCCCCAGCCAAGCCTTGGCCAGCGACGAGCGCCGCCTAAACCGGCCCGCGCGGACCGGCCCGCTGCTGCCCCCGCGCGGCTTGGAGGAGCCGCGGCGCGGCCACGCCTCCAAGGTCCGGGAGGGGGCGCCGCTGCAGAAAGGCCTGCGGGTCCCTTTGCAGGGCCCGAGACAAGCCCTTGCAAATTGAAAAGGAGATAGTACGCTTCGCAGAGAGAAGGGGGCTCGGCATCCTGGCTCGGAGCAAACCGCTTCCCTGCAGTGCAGACCGCGCAAGCCCTGAGCAAAGACAGCTGTCAGTCCTCCCTCAAACAAGACCTTGACTCCGGACAGTCTTTGACTAATGTAAAAACATCACGGCAGAAGTACTGGGAGTCCTTGTCCGGGGCCACCGCCCCATTTCATTTAATTGATTTGCACGAAGGGATCCCTTCGGGCTTTTCTTGCGAGGTCCTGAAAAAAGGGAGTGAATAAAAGTTCTAGATGTGTAGGGAGTCTGTGTCTGTCTCGCAAGAGAGGCCCGAGAGAGCCCTTCCCAAGGATATGCAAGGACAAGGAGAGAGGAGGATGGGATGGTCTTTGTGGCTGGAGCATGACCCACCCGCAAACCCCGAAGGTGGTCCACGCCAGGCAGGGCCCACAAAAGGCGGGGTGCAAATGCTAAGAAACAAGGCGAGGCTCCTGAAAGGTCCTGGTGCTTCTTGCGACCGGTAAAGGGCAGGGAACATGTCACTCTCTCTGCTCAAAAGTCAGCCTACCAGGTCGTTGTTACATTGGTGAACAGCTTACATAGCTGTGGGGGCACCTGTGGTTACATCAGATATCTGTTACGGCTTTAGAAAGGGTTTCTCATTTTGCTTTCTTTTGTTTCTATTCATGTTAAGTAGTAAGATTTCACTAGATAAGCCCATCCTGTTGCAGTGCATTTATAATACACAAATTATATATGTATAGAAAAATAACCTAAAGTGGTAGGTAGAAAGTTCCCCTTTACATTTCGAGTTGGGGCTGAAATCTCCATGCATGAGGAAGGTAACAGGTTCAATCCGTGGTGTCTCCAGGTATGGGAGAGAGATTTCTGCCTGAAATCCCAGAGAGCTGTCAATCAGTGTGAGCAATATTGAGCTAGATGGATCAATGGCCTGACTCGGTATATGGTGGCTTCTTGTGTTCCCTGGGGAAGTGTCATAAACTTAGTGGCAGAGCATATGTTTTGCAGGCAGGCAGGCTGTGCTAGGCCCGGGGGTAAGTCGAGTAACGCGGTCCAGGTCTGGTCCCGAATCCAAGGGTTCCGCGAAGAGTCAGTCTGACAGGGCCAAGGCAGGACACGAGGCAGGAAACCAGGCAAGGCGCAGGATTACAGGCAGGTTCTGGCAAACAGCAAAGTTCCTCCCTCAACATGGGGCGGGGTCCAGCAGCCTTTTATCTCTCTTGGGGTCCTGATCCCCCGGTGACTCACCTCCCTGTCTCGCCCAAAGGCAAGCACTCCTCCTGTGAGTACTCAGGTCTCTCCTTCTCTCAGACCTCAGCCTCTGCAGCTTGGGAGATGTTGGTGGGTTACTAGATCCAGAGGCCACCTCAGCCTCTCCTGACCCAACTGGTAGTGGAGCAGCTGTAAGTGATTGCCCAGCTGAAGGCAATGAGGGCCCCTGAATTGGCCCAGCTGGTGCTTGTTGCAGGGGAACCTGTGCAGACTGGGGCTCTTCAGGCCCCTGACTTGGTTCAGATGCCACCTGAGGCTAAGGATCAGGTGTGGACTGAGACACCTCTGGTTCCAAGTCCGAGTCCCAGGCCATCACACATCCTGAGGTTCAATCAGCAGCATCTTTGTGTCTGGCGGGAAATAAACCCCTTGCGTCTGAAAACCTTGGGAGCTGTAGAGTCTACAGTGCTGAGCTAGATGGCAGAATGACTCAGAATAAGGCACCTTCCTGAGAATGCCAGTGTGGCAGGTTAAAGAGTGCAGAATACACCATTGGACCTCAGCAATTTTGGGTGGGTCCCAGGAGGCATCTTTGATATGGTGCTGCTGAGGGCCATCCTGCAGAACACTGCTCAGAAGGAACTTCCAGAAAGACTGCCCTAGTCTGCAGCAGCAGGACCATAGTAAGGTAGAAAAGATGGACTGCTATCCTAGAGTCTTCAATCTGGTGGTTTCCAGATGTCGTTGGACTAAAGCTCCCATCAGCACTGATGGGAGTTGTAGTCCAATAATGTCTGGAGATCACCAGGCTGGTGAAGGCTGGTTCAACTGGATTCCAAGAGTGATCATAGCTTCGGGTTATTCTGTGGTAAGTTACATAGGTGGTCCACTGTTGCAGCAAACATTTGAATCTTAGCAGTTGTCATTAGAGGCAGGAGTGTTTCTTTCCAGTGCAAAACTCTCTCTCACTATTTTTGGGGTAAGGTCTGCATTCTGCCCGGTGTCATTCCCATCAGCCATGTAGGTGGGGTGTTAGAAAAGGCTGTTCCACCACCCTGAAGACATCTGGTGTGCTGCACACATCACTGAGCCAATCCTCACTTTAGGATTCGCCCTGCAGATCACAGCTGCTGCCAAGAGCCAGCCTTCTCACTAGGCATTTCTTGAGGCTCAGCTAACTGAGGGGCCCATTGAGAGGAGCCACACCAGTGTCACAACACCCACAGGCAAGTGCTCATTCCTAACCATCTGCCACCCAAGTGGGAAGCTGCACATTGTCTCTCTCTTGACCCAGTCCCACAAATTCTGTGGCACAACTTACGGCCTATACAAGCACATTCAGGTGAGAGGGGGGTTCTTGGCCAAAGGCTCACTATGTTCTGAAGCCAGTCCTGTGAGTAAATCAGTTCTTAAGCAGAGCCAGATACACAGTTACCTCCTGCAGCAGAGGCCATTTCATAGCTCCTCCCAGCTTGACCCCAGGATCTGGGAGGCAACTGTTCTAAGCATAGCAGTGCTGTTAAATCATTTTAGATGCTGGACTTCATGGCCCATAGAGGAATGTGTTACTTACTTTCCAATTATGGCAAGGCCATTCTGTTGCATGTAGGGGACCTCCCACTCATTCTGCTGATAAGAGGGGAGGCCTGAATTTCTATCCCAAAGCGCACCCCTCTTTGACTATGAAGCTCTTTTCATTAGTAACCACTGATTGGCCTGCATGAAATTGTCTAAAGTTCGTGGGTGTTTTAAAGTGACCACCCTTAGTGCAATTGCTGAATTTCTCTGGTTGGAAACACTGCAAGGTAGGATAGTGCTAAAGGCAAGCCTGGACCTTGATGCTTGCCCTCAGTTGCCAAGCAACGCTGTGTGTGATTGACTTCCAGCTGGCGTTTACCTTCTAGTCCAGTGTTCTTCCATCTGGTGCCCTCTAGATGCTTTGGATTCCTACCCATATCACCCCTGACCCTTGACTGTGCTAGCTGGGGCTGAGGGAAGGTGTAGTCCAAAGCACCAGGAAGACACCAGCTTGCACTAGACAGACACACACCAACACTCTCCAAGGGAGTGGTTGTGCCACACCACAACATTCATTCAGTTCCTTTGCCCAGCACTCCAACCCCTCCCCACTTCACAAACATGTTCCCTTATCCCAAATGAGAGAAAGGGGACACCCGAGGTGCTGGACAGCAATAGATTTATTAAGTATTCCAAAACATAAAAATAGACACAGACCAGTAAAAAATAAAGACCAGGGCCCTTGAAGTTATCAAAGTCATGGACAGAGGGAGCTGCACTAACTTATAAGACTTGGGGGGCAAAGGAGAGGGAATATAGGGTGGGGGGGGAGAGGAGGAAGAGGAGGAAGGGGGTTAAATACTGAACAGCTTTTAAGTTTTGGAACCCTTGAATCAGAAGCAACTAGAAGCTGGTTGTCTACAACTCAGCAAATGAGTAGCAAAGATGGACGGCGATGAACGACAGGCCCATGTCACTGCTCGGCCCTCACTGGGAGGAACCCAAGCGCTGCCTGTGGCCCCAGCCCTTCACTTGGCACCCTGGGCTTCCGATTCCTCCTCGTCATCTTCATACATCTCTCCTTCCTCTTCAGCTGTCGCATCCTGGTACTGCTGGTACTCGGAGACGAGGTCGTTCATGTTGCTCTCTGCCTCTGTGAACTCCATCTCATCCATGCCCTCGCCAGTGTACCAGTGGAGGAAGGCCTTGCGCCGGAACATGGCCGTGAACTGCTCCGAGATGCGCTTGAAGAGCTCCTGGATGGCTGTGCTGTTGCCAATGAAGGTGGAGGACATCTTGAGGCCCCGGGGAGGGATGTCGCACACAGCCACCTTGACGTTGTTGGGGATCCACTCCACAAAATAGCTGCTGTTCTTGCTCTGGATGGCCAGCATCTGCTCATCGACCTCCTTCATGGACATGCGGCCTCGGAATACGGTAGCCACCGTGAGGTAGCGGCCGTGGCGGGGGTCGCAAGCGGCCATCATGTTCTTGGCGTCAAACATCTGCTGGGTGAGCTCGGGGACAGTGAGGGCTCGGTACTGCTGGCTTCCGCGGGCCGTCAGCGGAGCAAAGCCCGGCATGAAGAAATGGAGGCGAGGGAAGGGCACCATGTTGACGGCCAGTTTGCGGAGGTCGGCATTGAGCTGGCCTGGGAATCTCAGGGAGGTGGTGACACCGCTCATGGTGGCAGAAACGAGGTGGTTGAGGTCTCCGTAGGTGGGCGTGGCCAGCTTGAGGGTCCTGAAGCAGATGTCATAGAGGGCTTCATTGTCAATGCAGTAGGTCTCGTCTGTGTTTTCCACCAGCTGGTGGATGGACAAGGTAGCGTTGTAGGGTTCCACCACAGTGTCAGACACTTTGGGGGAAGGCACCACACTAAAAGTGTTCATGATCCGGTCTGGGTATTCTTCACGGACTTTGCTAATGAGGAGAGTCCCCATGCCAGACCCCGTACCCCCACCCAGGGAATGAGTGAGCTGGAAGCCCTGTAGACAGTCGCAGTTCTCACACTCTTTTCGCACTACATCCAAGACGGAATCCACCAGCTCAGCGCCTTCTGTGTAATGACCCTTTGCCCAGTTGTTCCCAGCGCCACTTTGTCCTGTGAAGGAAGAGACACCAACACCATCTTGTGTAGCAACCAGCACTGATCTGTGTGCCCTGTCCTGTCAACTGGGGAAGGTACAGATCTACTCATCGCTATGGCATAACATTCAGGGACACCTGTTACCTTTTGACCAATCAGAGTTTGAAATTTTTGAAAGCCCACCAGACTTAAGTAAAAAAAGGAAAAGTACGCAACAATAGCTTGCTGTGCCACTTTTAACTTCCTCCATTTGTAGCTCTTGTAAGATTCTCATTAATTGGAGACTTAAAATGCCCAGAGAAATGAGACAGTGACTGGCACGGGAAGGGCCTATAAAGCAGGGGTTGTGTGGGGAGCACAGAGGTTAGAGGCCAAGCATGTGCATGGAGTCTGCTGAAGATGTTTGCCTTTTGATTTTAGCTTATATGTTTGAAGCACCTGTATGAGCCTTTAGAAATAAAGATGTATTAGGCAGCAGCAAGCTGTGATCAAGGAGTGGAGATTCTCTACCCTGGAAAGAATCTGACCTAACCCTTTCCTTAAAATCCAGCTGCCCCATCCCAAGATTTCCAGCCTTCCTTGCCTGCAGCTCCAAAAGCCTCAAAATACTACAGCTTAGAATTAGTTATGCAAATCTGAGGTCGAACTGTGCTATTTCTTTGGCTTAAAACTGGATGACATCTGAGAGAAGCTATGATAGAGAGAAAAGGGAAGAGAGCCAGGCAGCAGAAGAAAGCAGAGAAACAATACCAAAGATGAAGTTGTCTGGTCTGAAGAGGTGCCCAAAAGCACCTGAACGAACACTGTCCATGGTGCCAGGCTCCAGGTCTACCAGGATAGCACGAGGAACATATTTGTGAGCTGGGAAAAAACAAAGGAAGATTTGTCTTCATTGCAATCAGCCAGAGAGACAACCTTGCTGATTTACAGCAGGAGTTATTGTGTTGGGGGGGCAGGGAGGTGATTTTAAGATTCCTGATCTCCCACATCATCTCCCTTCTTTGTACCCATTTGGCAGGATGCTCACCAAAGCCAAAATTGGGCACTGCCCAACATCAGGCTCCCACCTAGCCTTTTCAGGTGTTCTTGCCCAACAATCCAGGGAATCCTTTACCAAGGAGAATATACTGCGGGACTGAGCTTCTTTATCTCTTCCTCTAAACTAGGGATGGGGAATCTGTAGCAACCCTCCGGAGGTTGTTGGACTCCAACTCCCATCAGCCACAACCAGGGTAGTCAGTTGTCAGAGACAATGAGCATTGTGGAGTATCTGGAATGTCACAGGCTTCCCCACCATCATTGCTGCCTTAACTCATTAAAGGATGCATGCTCAAAGCAGCCTGCCCTTGACCCATGACTAGAGAGACCCATGTCCCCCATAGCAGTACTCAGTACCAGCCATGAAATTTCCAGAACTGCTATTCAAATCTGTAGCGTTCTGCCTCAAAAGAGGACTAGGCTGGTCAACAAAGGCGACAAGGAAGAATATCTTTTGCAATGTTGCTGCAAAACTGGGTGCTATCCAGGGTGAGAGTGGCAGTCCTGGGATGCTTTTTCCTCACTCGGAAGGAGGTGGCAGGATGGATGGCATACTCTATGCCGCTACAAGTGCTTAGGGGAAGGGCCATTGTCATCTGCTTGGAATGGTGAAAACCTTCCAGTTTCATTTCTGAGAGGAGGCCAGGCGGAGGTTTCTTGGTATACCAGAATATCCCTACCTATCAGGAAGAGCAGTCAGGTCTGGGGTAGGAGCACAACTTACAAGAGGCTTCATTGTAATAAACGCTGATCCTTTCCAGCTGCAGGTCAGAGTCACCGACATAGTTCCCACTGGGGTCTATACCATGCTCATCACTGATCACCTCCCAGAACTGAAAGAAGAGTGGAGAGGGGGAGATAGAAAGAATTAACATTTCTACATGTTAAGTCAGCTAAAGACATTTTTTGGTTTATACCATTAGAAACAAAGGAAATTCCCACCCGCATCGGGCTGTTTAGCTTTTTCATTATCCACACTGGGGGAAAGCATTCTGAGTTGATCTGCTGCTGGAGACATCAGACTGGGCTAAGTGGAGCACCGACCTTATCCTGTAAATCTTATCCAGTATGCCACTCCTTGTGCGAGTCCAAGCAGTTCTTTTGAATGTGTGGGGGTGGGGGTGAGTGACATATAGAGAGCCAGTGTGGTGTAGCTGTTAAGAGTATTGGACTGGGACATGGGAGACCAGGGTTCAAATCTCTGCTCAGTCAGGAAGCTCACTGGGTGATCTTGGGTCATCACATCTCAGCCTAACCTACCTCACAGGGTTGTTGTGAGGATAAAATGGAGAGGAGGAGAGCCAAGTACATCCCTTTGAACAACACAAAGATGGGATAGAAATAAATACACAAATAAATTTGATTTGCTACTCGCAAGTGCCAAGTAGCACTGCATCAGCAGCTGTAGCTGCGTTTGGTAGTTGAAGGTGGCTAAGAGCCCTTTCTGCAAAGCCATCCTTGAGAGGGCTCTCTCACCAGCCTACAGTGAGACCCAGAGCAGAAACGCTTCGTTCTTGCAAGCACTGTGTGCTTCTTCTAGGGATCTGGCCATGGTGCTGAAACCATGACCTCTTGCTACCTTAAAGATACTGCTTTCCTAGCTTTGTTTTGAAGCAGAATCTACACCGCAGTAAAGGAGACAGAAGCAGCCATTTGGCTGAGCTTTCAGTATTTTAAGGCTGCTGAAAGTGAGAACATTCAGACGGGGTATTGCCACACGTCAAAACTCCTGCCCTCATCTGCAGTGTTTAGCCATGAAGACAAGGGTAGGGGCAAGAGTTGATCAGGCTGTTGTACACATTTTGACAAGCAACACAGCATTTTGCTTTGGGAATAAGCTACAAGGAAAAGCAGCTAAATTTGTGCAGAGTCATCTCACCGGCAAATAAGCACATGACTTCGCACTGCTGGTTATTGGCGCAAACTTATTACGAGCCACAGCACTACGCAGACTGCAGCAAGAGCACTCTATCTCCCTCAGGAGGGACAGCTGCTAATGATGCATTTTCCAGAACTTTTTACCTTGGGAATAATTGTTCTTGCAAGCAAAGGCTAAGCTGTATTCCTAAAGGACAACAGAGAGGGCTTCTTTTGGTGGAGCTTTTCACTAACGGAAGGACTTTCTGTTTTAACAAGGCAGTGAGGAGGACAGGAGAAAAAGGCTTGTTTACAGCAATCTATAGGAGACTGCTCAGTCCTTGCTAAATTAGTTTGAACAATGCGGGGGGGGGGGAGAGAAAGGAAGATGCATGTCATGAATGCTAACCATCTCCAGTGGACAGAGCTTTAATTACCAGGGAGCTCCCACTACTAAGAGGACAAATTGAAATTGATGGCAAGGTCAGGAAGACTGTAAACACAATGGCGTCAGCCACATGCCACAAGGCTGATCCCCCCTGAGCACCCAATGCAAAAAGATCTGCCTTGAGAAGGCTTCTTCACCAATAAATTGTTTCTAAAAATGAAGCAGATCTGGAAAGTGATATAATCCTATATATGCAGAGGTGGCCCAAGGTTACTCGGTGACGGAAGTGAGACTAAGCCCTAGGACTGCAAACAGATGCAAGGGTCAATTCATTTGGTCTCATTTGACTTGGAACAGGCTGAGTCAAATTCAAATCCCTGGCTCAGCCATAAAGCTCACTGCATGGGTCTTACAGGGGTTCCCCCCCCAAAGCCTTCCATATAAATTTGCTGAGAGAATGACATGGATAACAATCTGCCGTACTCTGCCCTTAGCTCCATGGAAGGGAAGACTCGGATGTGAAAAAGTGACTGTCATCTCTTTTCCCCCAAATTAACTCCTGCCCATATTCTGAGAGGTTTCAAAGGAACACCAATGCATAATTAAGTGAACTGTCCATCTTAAGGCATGAATAAAGCATAGTTCTTTGTCGTGGCGCAGGCATTGCTTAAGAGACGGCTTCTGAAATCAACACCCTGGATTTGGCAGCAGAATTCTCTAGAGTATCTAGAGTGATGCAGGAATCCAAACAGGTTAAATAAAGTTGTTCTTATTTTAGAAGAAGAGAAAAAGAACAATCCTTAAATATCTCAGGGGCTGCCAAGCCAGGCTTCCATACCAAAGCCAGCTTCTATCCTGTGCTGATCAGATGTGTCAATTACAGAACCTGTGAGTTTACAATGAATTATTCATGCAGATTAGCATATGCATGAGTCTGCTTAGGTAAACTATGCAGAAAGCTAGCCTCCAGCATCACCACCCCAACGGATGACTGCCTGCCTCCAAATCCCTGACTCAGGAGCAGCAAGATAGTGGAGAACCCTATTCCCTTGCCTTATTAACCCAGTTTCAGGGAAGATTGCAACGGAACCCAAGGTTGTCTCAGATCATGTGAAATCCATTCAACTTCTTTTGGTTTTCCACAGGATTCCATGTTCAGCATTTGAGGGTGGAGGGTAGAAAACACCCTGTGTTTTTTTTCTTTTTCTTTAAAGAGGAGAGTGTTCCCTTCTGAGAATCTCAAGTACAATCCTGGGCATTTTGACTTCCTTGCTGCAAAAGGTGTGGCAAACCCACCTATTCCTCAAGAGACGTGGTGAAGCAGCCACAGACTTGGAGCTCTGAGTGGTGCTGGGAAGAGACTGGCAGTCTTTCAAGGTTCATTATTCAGCTTCTTAAATAGCTTACTGGCTGTGGGTGAGTAGCAGGTGCTCTTCATACCCTTCGCCCACCTCCCTGCATCCAGCATAATGACCAGACTATCCCTCTCTCCTAAGTGGGGCGGGGGAGAGGCAGGGGAGCTCCCAGCCCCAGCTGCAGAAGAGCTCCAGAGGGCTGATTTGATTTCAGCCTGCTGTGCTGCTACCCTGCCCCACGGGGATAGAGCATTAAGTGGTACAATCACACTGCAGCAGGCTGGCCTTCCTTTTTATTCAGAGCAGGCACAGATGTCTGGTTTTGAAGGGTGGAGGAGAGAAGAGCAGGGAGAGGGGGGGTTGACTTAGTGGATTATTAGCTGTCTCTGTGACACTAAGTCATGGCAGCAGGTGTCTCCTGAGAAAGCAGAAACTGAAAACCCATTTGAGAAACCCCCTATTTTTGCAGGTTTGTTCATTTCCCTTTGGGCATTTCCCCTAACAAACAAAAATAAGACCACCCCTTGCTGCCCAGAGAGAGGGTGCTCCCTGCTTCTCTCCGTGGCCCAATTGCACCAGCCAAGAGCTGCCATTTCACTTAACAAATAGCTAGAAAAAAACTGCCCCATCAAGAAACAGGAGGGGATCCTGTCAGGACATCAAACATTCTGTTTGTTTCATATATCAGAAGATGCCACAGGATGCTCAGAATCCCCACACCTCTTTGTCTCCAGGAGTGGACAACTCTTCACCATTGTGTCCTGCATTACCTGAAGCTGCAAGGGGGAGGGGAGGCAAAGATGCTTTGTCCAGGGGTGGGGGCACCACAGGCTGAAATCTGTTTACCTTCCATCTGTCATCCACAGAACCACTTGGCAAAGGGAGGAAAAGGCCCCTGAAAGTCTTTAGGAGTAGCCATTCCCCTGAACCCAATGGGACAAGAAGACAGGGCAAAAAAAGGTGGCCCCACCCTCCCCCTGCAGAAGCAGTGCTGAAATGTTGCCCCATAGCAGGCTGAAGTAGGGGAGAGAAGCATTACCACTCCCCATAGAGAAAAGGTGGGAAAGGAGTGTAAACAAATAGCCAGATCGCCCAAGTTGCCCCCTGACCTCACCAAGGTTACAGCAGGAACTTGCAAGGTCACAGGCAGAGGGAAGGGTTTCTTTGTTCTAAGAGAATCAGGAGGGTCCCCTGCTTCCTGGGTGTGGCAGCCCCCTTGCCTGGATGGGCGTGGCGGAGGGGGCGGGAGGAAGACCACTCCTTCCTTTTGTCTCCCATCAGAAGCGCCAACAACAAAGGGTGACCACGGGCCTCTGACAGCCGCGTCAGGATGCCCAGGATGGACTTTTTAGGAGACGCTGGCCTGGGCCACCCACTGGCTAGCCGGCAAGAAGGCAAAGGAGCTCCTTCCTAGGGAGCCGGAGGCCACTTTCACCTCCTGCAGGAGGCTCTGCCCCGCAGCCCTGGGGTGCCTCCACGCCCACAGCCGGGCGGGGAAAGACGAGGCCACAACAAAGGCGCCGCCGCCGCCAGCGCAGGGCACGCCCCACCCCGGTGCCAAGCCAGGGAACCGGCCCCACCGCCTTGGCGAGATGACACCTGGCTACCTCGCCCGGATCTAGGGCAAGGGGAGCGGCAGAACAGCAGGGCGCCTCGTCGGCGCAACGCTTGGCTCTTTTCCAGGGGGCCCGCAACATGCCGGGCAGGATCAGCCAGGGAGCCCCCAAGTCCCGTTGGAAGAGCCGTCGGGGGGCGGCGGGGAGCTCCGCAGTCCCAGCAGCGCGCGTCTCCGCCTCCCCATGTCTTTACCTTGGCTCCGATCTGGTTGCCGCACTGGCCCGCCTGGATGTGCACGATCTCCCTCATGCTGCTGCGACTGGTGCTACGGGGGGGCGGCTGCGGGCAGGCAGGCGGGTGGGTGGGCGGCGGCTGCAGCTGGCGGAGCGGCTGGCGGAGGCGTCCAGGCTGCTGCCGGCGGGTTTTATAGGCGCCTCCCGCTGCACCCAGGCCGGGGCGCTGACGTCAGCGCCGACGCCGCGGCCAATCAGGAGGCGCCGCCGCAAAATACTGCAACATCCCTGCAGCATCAGCACCAGCAGCGCATCCCTCGGCGCCGGTAAGAGCCGCGCTGCCTGGCACAAAGCGGGCGGCCAGGCTGGGGCTCCCTCCGCCCCGCCCCGCCCGCAAGCCGGCATCGAGGTAAAGGCCCGGGCAAAAGAAAAGGCCCAGGGGAGGCGGCTGATGCAGGAGACATCACAGGCTGTTGCCTGAAGCGACTTGGAGGCTCACATCCCAGAGTGGGGCGGGTGGGGCCTGCGTTCGTGGGCCGCTGCGGTACCTCGGGGTGCGCGAGGGGGACAGCCACTTTTCTGGGATGTCTCTTGGGTGGGGGCATCTTTGTTATCAGGTCTCAAGTTTCAGCCTCGCCCAAGTCCGGGATTTGCCTTTGATGGCCTCGGACGGGGTTGCCAAAGCATCCTTCCTTGGCCTCTTTCCTTATTCCCCAGCCAGACAGCTGCGCTCTGCTTTGTGACTGGGGGCTTCTCCGCTTGTCTTGATATCACGCCCCCCACCCAGCCCTTTGAAGACAAAGATATATATATTTTTTCGAGGGGCCATCCTGCATTGAAGCTCTGTGTATTTTGCTGAGGTTGGGGTGCTTTTAACAGTCGGTTTTGAACACGCGTGTTTCCTTCCAGTGATGCTCTGATGATGGGCGCTTCCTTCGAACCTTTCGCCGCTTAGCCAAAACTTTGCCCGCAGCCTCTGTGCTCTCCTACTGCTGACTAACTGCCAGCTGGGCGAAACCCCCTGACTCAGCAGTGCCCAGCCCGCCCCTGCCCGCTGGGTGGGGCCTCGCCGTGGGTCTCTCTTCCTCGGCTGCTTGCAATTTGCAAGGGGCAACTGAAGGCCATCCAACCGGGAACAAGGGCGGAGAGCTTTGGGGGCTACGGGCGATGGGCCATCGCCTAAGTTGGGGGAGATGCTGCGGGTGGTGGTGGGGAAAGTGGGCAGAACAAAAGCCCCTTCGCGGTCCCAGGTGCGCAGGAGGAGAGAGCGAGGAGGCTCCCCGCCCGCCTCCCCTTTGTTCAGCCAGCTCGGGCAGGAAGCTGCCTCTCCCTACTCTCCCCCTTTTCCTGGGTGGGGAGATGGGGAGGGGCCCCACAGATCTGTTTCCTGTCATTTCCCCCCTACGCCCTCCTTTGTGTCTGGGTTGTCGTTGCAATTCCTGGGGGAGAACAAAGGCCTGTGGAGGGAGACTATGCTGACCTTTTCCCTAAGTGTGTGGAGGGTGGGGGGGGGGAGGAAAGGCTGCCCCCTCTCTGACAGGCGAGAACCGCAGCAGGAATAACAGCTGGCTGCAAAAAGCAGGAGCTCCTTGCCAGGGGAACGGGTGGGTCCCTTCGGAGGCAACGCTCTCCTGGCTCCTCCACCAGTGCCGGATTTAGATATAAGCTAAACAAGCTATAGCTTAGGGCCCCACTCTCTTGGGGGCCCCCAAAAAAGTAAAGGAAAAAAAACCTGGATGTACATTTCCAAAATATAAGATAAAAAAATAAATAAAATAAAATAAAACCTGCATACAGCAACAGTGTTTGTGTTGTGTATGATGTAAGTAATGAACCCCACAAAAAGCATATATTCAACACAAAAAACAATGACAATTTGTTGTTGACAAAGGACAGCTGGACATATAAAGGGCCCCATTACATTCAGTAGCTTAGGGCCTCATCAAACCTAAATCCGGCCCTGTCCCCCACCAAGGTCTGCTTCACCTGTATACAACTGAAGGCGGAAAGGCCCACAGCCGCTCACTCATTTCCCCTGCCTGAGGAATATGTCGGTGCTCGCAGTGGTTCAGCGTCCTCCCCCTTCCCGTAGCCAGTATAATTCAAGGAGAGGGGACTGGTCGCCAGCAGCCAGCCTAGGCCTGATGATATCTTCCTATCTGCAAGCCCAACCCTTAAATCACAGAGGGATGCCGGGTGCTTGGCTGGGACCTCTTGGCAGGACTCTGTATGTGCTCAAGGGCACCCAACGCTTCTTTGAGAGGAGTTCACGTGGGCTCTGTCACTGGCTCAGGGTTAAGTCTTGCTGTCCACCAAGGCAAAGCTGCTTCTCTCTTTCCTGTTGCTGGACACCAGCGCCCCCCAGTGTCTGGTCTAAGCTTCCCATCTGTATTGATGGCCCTCCCAATCCACAAGCGTCTCCACCCCAGAATTATTATTTCAGAAAGCAGGAAGACACAGGGTCCAGGGAAGAGGGAGAAATCTCATTTATTTCTTTTTCAAAGAACAATCTAGCTCCTTACTGATAATCCCTTATTCGCAAACTGCACACACACAAATAGTTCCCACTGGACAATTTTTCCACCTAATGCACAAAGGGTCAGGAAACCAAGCCTTATGAGGAACGATTGAGGGAGCTGGGTATGTTTAACCTGCTAAAGAGGAGACTGAGAAGAGATATGATAGCCATCTTCAAATATCTAAAGGGCTGTCACCTGGAGGATGGAGCCAGGTTGTTTTCTCCAGCTCCAGAGGGTAGGACCAGAACAAATGGCTTCAAGATACAAGAAAGGATATTCCAATATCCAACTAAACATCAGGAAGAACTTTCTGATGGTACTAAGAGAACAGACTCCTTTGGAAGCAGTGCCGGATTAAATCCTGTGGAGGCCCCTAGGCTGTTGAAATCTCACCCTCCCCCCAATCTAGTAGCATTGAACTAAGAAGTCCTGGTTGTAACTTTCTTTCAAGATCAAATCAATATTATTTTACCTATTGTCGTTGGGCTCCTAAAAGGCATGGGTCCCATAGACCGGGGCCTCCTCTGCCTATTTGGTAATCCAGCTTTGCTTGGTGGACTCTCCTTCCTTGAAGATTTTTAAGCAGAGCTTGGATGTCCACCTGCCACGGGTGCTTTAGTTGAGATCCTTGCATTGCAGGGGGTTGGAAGAGATGACTCTCAGGACCCCTTCTAACTCTACAAGTCTATGATTCTATGAAAACATTTCTAGCTGCAGGTTAGGATAAATTCTGCTGGCCTCTAAGCCCTTCTCCGCCTATTCTTCAGGGCCTGTTCATGGTCATCCCATGCCAGCCTCTCTGCCAGGCTTCCTGCCTGCGCAGTCCCTCCTACATCTGTAGTGGCACTAAAATGCAGCCAAGTTCCTAGCAAGGAAAAGCACTCTGAGATCATTCCCCACAGCAGCTGAATTCCCAGAATGGTGGATGGGGCTGCTGCCCTGGGGAGTAGCCTTGCCCAGAAAGAGGTCTCTCTTTTTTTGCAGAGTGAGCAGCAGGGAGCAGTAATCAGAGATGACAGCTTGGAGAAAGGCCTTGGAGAGAAACAAAGGAACTCAGGAGTGAGTGTGACTGCGCAGTGAGCAAACAGCCAGTTCACCCTCTTTCTCAGGTAAAGCACCTGCCTTGGCAAGGAATGGATGCACTGAAAACCATCTAGCCTTAGTATTGTCTGCACTAACAGGCAGCAGCGGCTCATCAAGGTTTCAGGTAGGAGTCTTTTCTCAGCCATACTTGAACCCAGGCCTTTCTGCATGCAAAGCTGCTGTTATTTTAGCACTGAACTTAGGTCCTTCCCTAACAAAAAGGTTAGCCACCCTGCCAGAATAATATGAAGCTGCCTTAGGCATGTGAAGCAGAGGTGGGCATGCAAAGGACCCTGTGGTTTTGTTCTGGTGCCTCAGCTGCAGCCCACTGACAGGAGAGAGGATGGGGGCAAGGCCCTTTTCCCTCCCAGGGGGAGTGACGTGTCAGAGACTAGTCAGATTGCTGAATGGCTGGGAGTAGGACCCCCCCCATATTTCTATAGGCATGACTCATTGTGGCAGAGCTCAAGCAAAACAAAAGCCCCTGGTCAGATGGAGCTCTCACTTCTTAGAAATAGTTGCAGCCCCCTCACAACTTCCTCTCCCACACAGAACCTGCTAGCTGCACATTTATGCCACATGCACCACAAAAACCTACAAAATATTGTGTATCAGATAATAAGAAGGTGGAATAAAAGTGCTGTGTGCTTCTCCCCCAGCATTCTGTATTTGTGTGTTTGTGTCTGAGAATGCACACAGTTGGTGCATATGAGAAAGACAACACCCCACAAAAAACACCCACTGAACTTGCTTCTTATACAGGGTTGCAAGTGAGTTGTTATGCTCTCCGGAATACACTTTCTACTAACAAGCCGTTCATCTCTCCTCCTGTCTCCCTCATCCTGACCCATGATTTGTATTCTACACAATGTGGCTCAGAGCAATGGTTCCCAAACTACCCAGGCCCTCAGAAAATGGTTAATGGTGTTGTCTGTCTGTTGAAGCAATTGTGTTGTTGTGCTGTACTAGATGCTGTGTGATTTTTAATTGCATTTTAAAATCACATCCTTGTGTTCCACTGAATTCAAATTGTAATACAACATAATAAACAAAAGAAGCAATTAAAATGCAGTATGAATCTTCTATGCAATAGATGTGCTGTCTCCTGCCTTTAATCACAAATCCACAGAAATGCCATAAACCAGTTTGGGAACTCTTGGCTCAGATGCTTTTAGAATCACAGCATCAGACAGGACTTTGAAGGCTACTTAGCCCCACCTCCTCCTCCATACGGGGCCTGCAATGCAGAATATAATTACAACAACCCTGCGAGATGGTTGCTCGACCTTTTCTTGAGTGAAGGAGAGCCCACCAGCTCCCAAACCACTGCTGAACAGCTGCCACTATCTGGAAGGCCTTCCTCGTGTTTCATTGAAGTCTACTTCTCTGCCTTTTCCAGCCACTGATTCTGGAGCAACAGAGAAGAACTATCTTCTGTGTGGGACAGCCCATCGTGTGAATGGGAGACAATTGTCCTTCATCGGACTTGGATTTCCTGGTCACCCACTTCTGGTGGGCATGCTCCCAGAGGCATTTGTAGGGTCCCTTGCACCCTTGGCAAGGAGCTGTATTGATGCCGTCCCCATCACTTCACTGCACACCTTTGTGCCATGGTGTGAGATGGATGGGAAGCTTCTCCCATGTTTGATCTCACTGTAACAATGGTGTTGCATCACCACACACATGCCTGTCATACACTCCATTGCCAGATAGGTGATTTTGTGCACCTGCCCAGGCCTGTGCCCCAGAGGCGGCCAGTTTCACCAACCCCTAGGTACACCTGTGCATACTTCAGAATACACATTCCTGAAGGGAGGGAAGTCCAACCAACAGCTGTTAGCCAATGGAGGCTGTGTGTAGCTTCCCTGCGCATAAAGTCATTGCCATCTGCTTGGCCACTATGGGAGGCGGGATGTTAGAATACAGGGCCTGTTGGGTTCCCAGCAGGGCTCTCCTTGTGCTTTTAGGAGTTTGCTCCTGCTATCTTAGGAAAGAGCCTCAGCTCAGACCTACAGTATGCTTTTAAGAGCAAACCTTAAGATCAAAATCGGCAATGCCACTGAAGTTTGTTATTACGTGGCATGGAATAAGAGTTTGCCCAGTTGGTAAAGCTCTGGATGTAAACAGCAAGGCTCTTTTCTGGATTTAGAGCCATTTCTCTAGCAGGGCTATGCTACTGTCCAATCTACTAGGGGTGATGCCTGGAATGAGCTATTGCTTGTCTTGTTTTGCATGGAAGCATCACTATGGCACAGGTCCGGACAGGGATATGTGTGAGAGGATCCTTACAGGCAACTCCCATCTGTGACATATGATGCAGCACTAGGAGGCTCCTGTGTTTGGGCACCATGAATCCGAAGACTGACTCCTACTTCTAATAGCATGTTCTGAAAAGGAACTACCAGTAACTTAGATAGGATTGTGAGTCCCTGATGTGAGTCCCTCCAGGCTTGGCCCAAGGTAGACCAGCCACCAGGTAAGGGATGCCACAACCATCTATTGCAGGACCTGGAAACTGGAAAAAGCAGGGATCTCTCTGGAAGCAGAGATCCACTCAGAGAGATAATCTCACATAAGCACAGAGCATCACTCAGGCCTATTTTTCAGTGAAAGGACAATGTTGTAAGAATTCTGGACAAAGGGTTGAGATATGGGCAGAGGTACCATTTTGCAACTTATTGAGTTGCATTGATTTGTAGAGACTGCAAACATGAAGTCAGAAGACGGAGGGAGGGAAGTCCACTGAAACACAGTCAGAGGCTGCCAGTCAGGTCTTACGAGAATGCGGGGGGGGGGAAGAGAGATTTGCAGCATCTGAAATTTTAGGGCGTTTCCTTCCCAGTGCTGAAATAGATTTAGGAAAAGATGTCCACATCTCTAAACTGGACCACCCACCCTGTACTCCTAGACAGGTAGAGCCCTCCTGGAGTTGCTCAGTTCACACATTCTGGTACTCTGAAACATTCCTCTTTATTACCCTGCAAAGCTCCTTGACATACAAAACACATATTTAGGCTGTGCACACATAACTGGCTTAAAACACAGTGAGGCCGTATCTTTACACAAGTCAAATCGGAGCTGGTTTGGGGGGCGGGGTGGGGAATGCATCAAAACACAGCATTTCCTCAGAAAGGAGAGGATCAATATTGGTTGTGGTTAACATCACTAGTATGCCACTTCCCAAACCAAAGGTTGTTGTGCACTAGATGCAGCGCAATTGGGAGTGTGTACACTGCCACACGCACACATACTCTTCCTTCTTCTGCATTGGGAAAATGTTGCTGCACCTGCCATTGTCATCCTCACCCTCGGCTCTGCACACCTTGACGGGAACAGCCTGGAGCCCTCACAGAGGAAGAACGAATGGCTTCCCTAGATCACTAGCAAGGAAATTGCAGAGAGTTATACAACATCTCAGCCATGCCTCTAGGCCGGCGGCAGTCAGGAAGCAAAAGAACGTCCCTCCCCACCACACACACACACACACACACACACTTTGTTTCCTCCTTCTGGCCGTGGAATGTGGCGAACGAACGCTGCCTGGCACCTCCTCCCAGAGGCTTCCTCTGCTTGCCCATCCCCAGTGCCACCAGGGGGCGCTGAGCTCCCAATTGCAAAGTGGCTGTGTCTGCTGCCTCTGGGGAGGGCAGGAGAGCCCCAGCGGCTACTTGCACCCTCATACCCCCAGTGCCGCCTGCTCCTTACCAAAAGCATAAGACCACCTCTTTCAAAGTCCTCCTGAGCTCCTGGCTCCGGAAGGCATAAATTATGGGGTCCACCACAGAGTTGCAAATGAGGAGGATGAGATAGAGGTTGAAGTATCTGAAGTAGCAGTTGCAGGCGGGCTTCTCGGGGCAGGTGAGGATGAGGATCAGGTGAAGGAAGAAGGGGCCCCAGCAGATGAAGAAGACGCCCAGCAGGATGGTGAGGGTGATGGCCCCTCTCATGCTAGTGAAGTGGGGTGCCGACTGCTTCCTTTGCAGGCTGGAGATCCTGCGGGCGTGTTGGTGAGCCAGGCTGAACATGTGGATGTAGAGGCCCATGATCAGGGTGATCATGGAGAGGAAGAAGATGACCAGGCAGAGGATGACCGCCTTGCCATCGTAGGCAATGAAGATGGTGCTGGAGATGCTGCTGACCACCCAGACAACCACGATGATGGTGACGGCCCTCTGGATGGTCATGATGCTGTGATACCGCAAGGCGTAGAAGATGGTGATGTAGCGGTCAATGGCGATGACGCCCAGGAAGGAGAGCGAGGACATCAGGGAGCTGCAGATCAGCATGTCCATGGCGTTATCCAGGTGCATCACGGTGGTGGGCTGCACAACCATCATCTCATGCTCCAGCAGAAGCATGAAGAGGGTCTCCACTAGGTTGCTGACGCTCACCAGCATGTCCGACACAGCCAGGCAGCAGATGAAATAGTACATGGGCGAATGCAGGTTCCGGTTTTTGACAATGGCGGCCACCACTAACAAGTTCTCCACAAAGCTCAGGATCCCCAGGGTCAGGAAGAGTTCGCCAGGGATCACCACCTGCTGGCTGCTTGTGCAGAATGTCTCATTGGTCTGGTTGCTCACGGGAATGCCTGCAGTGGCATTCGGGGGGCTGGGCAGCACCCTCAGGGGTGATGGCACAGACATGGTGGCACCTTGGTGGGAACGCTACAGAAAGACAAAGGAGACCCGCAGGATTTTGCAACAGAGTTTTCTCTTGGGCGAGAAGTATATAGTTAGCATGGTCCAGGAACTCACCTGTAGGTTGCGGAACCTGAAAGAAACTTCTGTGGCCACTCTTCCTCCAAGGGAATAGATGGATAGATGTCTCAGAACAGAGCTGTGAGACCAGACATGCTCCACACAAAGTTTTGGGGTGGCAGAGTCAGCAACACGCTTCCAGTGACCCTTCTTTGGCACAATACGCTGGAGAGCCCAACACCCGTGTCTTCTTGGCTTATGCTCTCTTGCTCCTGGTTTCTTCCCTTGGGTCTCTGTCCCAGAAAAAGAAAAGGGGAGAACTTGCCAGCTTCTTTCCGCCTCTCCCGGCTCTGAATTCCCAAGTCCTATTTTCCTTCCAAGGGTGCCGTTGCTTGATTTGCCTCTTCCCCAAAGTAAACTGATTAGCAGGAGTTCACAGCAAAGAAAGAACCCTTTATCTCCCTTACTTTTAAAGGAATATGCCCAGCTTTCCCATCGGCAGAGGGGCGGAGGGTGATCCACATGATAACAGCCCAGGAGGCGAGGGCGCTGAATGGCAGGGAGAACTTATGAAACTGCCCTTAAAGCCTGGCTGAGTTTTCCTCTTCATTAACATCCTGGTGGCATGATGCCCCCCCCATGCCAAGCAAAAGGGGGTCCAGCAGTGAAGCATTACTCACCATCTCAGTGACGTCTTCAACTTATATTTATGCAAGTACAAAGGAGAAGGGTTGCATATAGGCGGAAGAAGAGTCAAGTTTTCCCAAATATGGCTTCACCCATGTTTGACACACTCCGGGTTTTTCCCCCTGCTGCGGAAGATTCCCCACCAACTTCTACTGGAGGAAATTGCCCAGCTTGATTGACAAGACTCAGTTATTGCAATGCTCTCTCTGTTGGCCTGGTCTGGAGGCTCCAGCTTATGCAAAATGCAGCAGCTAGACTGTTGATTGGGATAGACTATTGCTAGCACATAAGACTAGCGATGGAAAGCTTGTGCTGGTTGCCCATATGCTACCCAGCCAGGTTCATTGTTCTTATTTTCAAGGCCCTTTACCAACTTGAGTCCAGGATATCTCAGGGACCACTTGATCTCTCATTTCTCTGCCTGACCTGGCCAAGTAGCATATAGGCAGCCAGTGCAAACTTTACTCTGTGAATATGGTCTGGCAAAAAGTGTCTGCCTTGAGGAATTTAGAGGAATGGCAACTTTCCTGTGCAACCAATACAAACAACAACAGCCAGTAGAACACATAGCAGCACTGCAGTGGCCATAAAACAAGAGGAGTTACTTGGAGCCTCGTTTGACTAAAAATATTCCCCTTTAGGAGAGGGTCATAGGTCAGTGGTGGAGCATCTGCTTTGCATGCAGAAGGTCCCAGGTTCCATCCTTGACAGTATCTCCAGGTAGCTGAACTGGGAAGGTCCTTTGCATGAAACCCCGGAGAGCTGTTGCCAGCCAGAGTGCAGACTATACTAGGCTAGAAGGGCCAAGGGTCTGGCTCAGCAGAAGGCAACTTCCTATGTTCTTCCTACTGACAGAAGGTAATCAGAGGCTACATGGGCCTCCCTTGCAAGGAACTCTAGAGTTTGGGGGAAGCCACTTGGAAGGCCCTGCCTTAAGTTCTGCCATACATGCTACAGATATTGGCAGGGCAGAAAGAATGGCCTCTCCTGAAAATCTTAAAACGTAGGGTTGTACAGTTCCCTCCAAATCAAAGCTTCAGAGTCCAATAAGTTCCCTAAAATGTTGATGCAAGAATGTAAAATGAGTCTGATGGATTAAGCAAATGGTCGAAACAGCCCAGCATCCCATTCTCACAGTGGCCACTCAGAGGCAAATGCGAAACCTGGCTCTGAGTCAGCACAGATAAGTTCCATTTCAGAACTTTCCTCATTTCACCTCTTAGACGATGCACAAGCATCACATTTCCATGACACTACAACATTTGTGCATGCTAATACTTCCTTGCCTTGTTCCCGTTTCCCCCAGCTCTGGGTTAGCAATTCCTAGTAGGGCAGAGCATGCAAAAGGCAGTCAAGCTCGCCCTGTAAGCAGCACAGTTTGGCATGCAAGTGTGACTTCTTATGCAACTATTTACGTGACATGCCGTGCGAGACACAAACAACTCACTCTGTGGAGAGATCATTGCATGTTTCACTGGCTGATTTCACAAGATACAGCCTACGTAATTCAAAGCAGCGTTGGTACATCATGAAGAGGGGCCTGCTTCTCCTCGCTAGGAAAAGATGGGCTCTTTGTTTTGCAAGACAGAGAATTTCATAGTTATTTCATTTGCTCAAAACAAAATCAGTCACTATGTTCAAGATCACTTTTTTCCAGTTACCTTTACAACAGTTGGAGGTTTTTAGATGCAAGGCGAGTAAGGGGAGGACAGAAGAGAAGCGTTTAAAATTTTTGGAGGTAGAGAATGTTGATAGAGAGAAGTATTTCTCCTTTTCTTATAATACAGGTCCATTGAAGGAAACTCAGTGTTGGAGGATTCCGTGCAGACAAAGAAAATACTTATCCACCCAGAGCTTACTGTTGTTAAAGTCTGGAATTTGCTGTATTTATTTATTTATGTATTTATTATGTATGTACTAAATTTGTATACCACCCTTCACTCGTAGATACAAGGGCTATCGCAAGATGTAATGATGGCCACCAACCTGGAGTTAGCAGAGCTGGCCCACCCATGAGGTGAGGCAGTTCCCTCAGGGTGGCAGGTTCCAGAAAGCTGGGAGAGCGGCCGATCCAGCCTCCATGGAGCTTGCCCTGCACTTGTCAGCCTCTTCCTCTGTGTGCCTGTGTACTGCCCAGTGGCTGGCAGGTGGCAGTAGGGAGACATGTGATGCCGTGTGGGTGCACAGCGGTGGGTGGGCAACAGAGGAAGAGGTGGTGACAGGGCAGTGTTTTCTCTTTTGCCTCTGGCGGCAAAACATCCGGGGATGGCCCTGAGAGTTAGACAAGTTTATGGAGGATAAGACTATCTATGGCTACTAGTCATGATGGCTGTGTGTTACCTCCCATCTTGGAGGTGGTAGGCGTCTGAATACCACTCACTGGGAACCACCAGTGAGCTGAGACCGCTGAACTCAGGTCCTGCTTGTGGGCTTCCCTCTGGTAGGGATGTGGGTGGCGCAGTGGTCTAAACCACTGAGCCTCTTGGGCTTGCCGGTCAGAAGGTTGGCGGTTTGAATCCCTGCGATGGGGTGAGCTCCCGTTGCTGTCCCAGCTCCTGGAAAGCGAGATGAGTGCCGCAACCCCATAGTTGCCTTTGACTGGACTTAAGCATCCAGGGGTCCTTTACCTTTACTCCCCACCCCCACCCCCGATATCTGGATAGCCAGGGTAAGAGCAGGATGCTGATAAGATGAGCCATTCCAGTAGACTCTTCTTATTTTCCTAAGGTATGGGGCAGGTTTTCCTCTTTAATAAATATGGGTGAACTTTGGGTACAAGTGACAGCCCCCATGATGGGAAAACAGAAACCACGTGGGAACTACCTGGACAGCAAACTCCACTTTTTACCTATTAATGCAAACACACACTTTCGTGTAAAAATGGCTTGAGAATAGTCATTTCATATTTTGTGGACAATTAATAGACAAGCTGATCCTTATAGTGTATCTGCCATTTTGAAGTGTTTCAACTTGCCCTGGGACTTTAGAGAGAAGGGCGGGGAGGTAAGCAAGCAATCATATACTCCTGCTGGCTCAGATGAATGTCCCATCTGCTCTAACATCCCGTTTCCAGACAGATCCCAGCTCATGCTGACCCCTATTCTGCTAACCACTTCGTACTGGAGATAAGCCGCAGCATTTCAGGGTGAGCGGGGTAGTTTCCTTTAATGACTCTGGGTTTTGAATTAGGGCAGAAGCATTTTTAGCCTGCCCAAAGTACGTGGTGATGTTCTTAAGATGCTAATTCAGAGAACCAGCTGCAGACATTAAATGCATGGGGAACACTGAAGAGGTCTTGCTTTTACTTTTATAATAAAGGTCACCGGGAATGAGGATCAGGATTGCAGCACACAGGGAAGGGGGTTTAACATTTTCACCCCTGTATCACAGTCCCAGTCGATATTCTCCTCTGACAAGCTGGTATTCTTCCAGAGAGAGAAGCTGCCCAGCAAACATGAAAATGACCCCAGGTTGAAGCAGAGCACACAGGGACAAAGCAGCAACAGCCATTGTCCCTCTGAAAATGTGAGAGCAATCATCTGGATCAAGCTGTAGCACTAACCAAACTACTCCAGTCCTGTGCAAGGTGGAGGAGTAGAATAAAGACACGGGAGGTTTTATGCTCCTTCCACTTCTTGTTTTCAGTCTTTGCAAGGAGAATCCCTCACCAGGCATGTGGTGTCTGCGTGTAAGAAACAGCTGCAATTTAAGCAGGCCCTTGGACTCCCATGGGTTCAGTTGGTTGAGGCGTGAGGTTGGCGCCCTGCCCTTTGGAAGCTGTACAGACACTATATCCCCATAAACATGGCCTGCTCTGTAACTCACCTCTCCCTACAGACACTAGCAAAGCAGTGGCACACTAGACCAGCTCCCAAGTTTCAATTAAACAGTCCAAGCTAACCTCCTCTATCAGCCCACAAAAGGCCAAGCCAAATGAAATGTTGATGCAAGAGGATTCTGATCCCAATTCTTCCCCAAACCAAAGAGGCTGCAGCTGCCAGTTAAGAGTCATTTCATTGCTCTCGCCCTTCCAGTGTCAGCCCCCCCTCCTGAAGTCACTATTCATAGCAGGGGCTTGATGTGCTCTTAAATAGAGAGGGTATCTGCCAGGCACTCCGGAATGAGTCATACTGAAAACCAACCTCTGAATGTCTGCAATGAAAAGAAGTATCTTTATCATGAATAATTAACATTTAAAAAAATACTTTGCCTAATTAATCAGGTGCCGTGTTTTCAGTCAATCAAAAGGTTTTTAATCA